CAATGGTAAAGCTAGCGAAGCATGCAATAAAATATACATAGGCACAACGAAGCGCGCTCTCGGTATTAGAATAAGCGAACATAAAACCGACGCAAGAAATAAGAAGACAATGACTGCATTAGCACAACATTTAACGAATAGCGGGCATACAGCAGACTTTGAAAACGCGAAAATATTAGATGTGGAGAACAGAGATAGAACTCGACTAACATTGGAAAGTTTGCGAATACAACAAAAAATACAGAATGCAATGAATTTTAAGGAAGACGTCGACAATATAAATTGCGCATACAGGACAGCAATAATGGTCAATAGGAGAACAGACGAGCAGAAGTACACTTAAATATAATAAGTTGAAATCAGTGTGTATTTTTGTTATATTTTCTTTGTTTGATGTTCAATGTAAGTTATGTTTTCGGGAAAAATTGTTACACCAACGTATTGTACTTGTTATAATTTTTATTTACATACATATGTGCCTAATTGTTTGTTTTTTATGTTTTGTTTTCAATAAACACCAGACTCCCCGAGGAAGACGTGAAAAACATCGAAACGCGTAGGAGGAAAAAGAAACATTGTTTGCTTTTTATTAAACCGGCGAAAAGCTCCTTAAACTACCCTATAGGAAATTGAAAGTTGGTCCTAGAAACATAATAACCGATGCATTTTTAATTTCTCTAGTCTCCTGTATCAAAATATGAGTTTTCATAAAAGGTGGACTTAGCAACTTTTCACTCTAAGCTAGCGATATATAATTCTTCGGTACATGTGTTTGTAAGTAATCTCCTCCTTAACGACCGAAACGATTATAATTTAGGCTCACAACTTAAAACGCCAGTTGGCGCTGGAGTCGAGTTATTCAGGGCTATAACGAAATCCATCGTAGAAAATCTACGAATTCGAATGCCCGCTACGAATACGAAGCAACTGCTATGTCAGAATCCGAGTGAACTCGAAAATATCGTTGCCAGCTAGGAATGCTGATTCGAAATCAGTTAGTGCAAAGGAGACAATAGACATTTATGTATACCATTTTGCTCACGCTGCCCCATCAGTCGCAACAGCCGAGTGAGCAAAGCACTAGACTGCCAATTGAGTGATCCGAGTTCGAGTCCGAGTCGTCGGGCCGCGGAGACTTTTTTATTTTTTTATTTAATTTTTGTTTATTTTTTTAATAACTATATTTTTTTTTGTTAAGATTTTATTCTTTTAAATTCAATTTTTTCAATTAATTTGTATGATATTAAAGTAGATAATTAGGTTTATTTCCTAATAAATTGTTGCTAAATTTGTGAGGACTAAATATCCACGGAATTTAGCCCACACGAACGCCGCCCCCCTACACCAGCAACAACGACTACAACAGCAACAACAACGACTACAGCAGCGTCATCAACACGGCCAGCCAACGTAAGAGACCGTATCAACACTCCCTGGTGACACCGTCACCATAGTAACGCAACATGTAGCCATACGACTCAGCAACACG